TAATCTATAGGGTCCGACTCAGACCGTCAAGTGGTCCATGCAGCCATCTGTGGCTAGGGAGGCTAACGAGGCTAGTGAAATTAGTGGCGATGCACGGTGCTAGGCTGCTAGTCTGCTAGGAGTTCGCCGCCACTGTGGCAAGAACAAGATGAGGCTGACACGCCGATCCCTGTGGCGTCGGATTGCTGAATGGAAAAAGTAAAACGCAAACAAAGAGGTCTGCCTGAACGGGCAACAGGGAGCAAATACCTTGCGTGAGACTGGCTGCTCCTGAGATACTCACAGGCGAGTATAGAATGCGTTACACTTGCGGGAATTACCCATCGCATTGATTGTTAAACCGGAGATGACAAATCGTGCAGGAATTCGAGGGCATCACAACTGGCACGGCACCATGTACATACACCGTAGGCACTATTTCATGATTTCATACTTTGGATCCCATGATAGGCTGATCGAACCGAGTTCCTGGGCTAGCGCGGGTTTGTGTAGCACTGAACGAGGTGTGCCACTGGCTGACTCAAGTTTTCTGTTGGACACCAAACATCGACCTGCAAGTTGGCGCAGTTGTCTACCTGCCAAATCGGGAATGCCCTGCATAACCCTACCAACTTCTATACAGCGGGATGTTCAGCATACACCGAAGGCCCCCCTAGATTGGGAACCCAAAATATTTCCCCCCCCCCCCCCCCTCTATCTCGGATCCGAGTCTCTTGGAAGTAATGTGCTACCCCATATCCGTTTACCCATTTAGGTAAACGTGTGATCTCTCTGTGGCAAATCGCCATGCAGTTCCCCCTTCGCCCCCTTTGTCCCTTACGCCGACGTCAGAGCTTCATGAAACCATGCTTGATGTTTCCTTGTCAACAGAACCAGTTGAATGAACGTGTCAAAGCAGATCATGTCTGAATCCCTATAACTGATATCAAATTTGGTTTCGGCCGAAGGTCGAAGGGATGCGGCCATGCATTCATAAGATGCATGGTGTGAGATCATCGGTGTAAGGGCTGGTTTCGATGCGATTGCAAGAGAAGTCGATTGTAAACTTGTCGGTAAATTGTACGATTCGGTACTTATTGACCTTCGAAGGGACTTTGAGAGAAGATCATCGGAAAGGCTAAGCAGCTGCTGACCCTCCAACATCAAGGACACGAGCAACGGTGATCTCGCATGGTAATATCTTCTCAGTCCGATACATCGACATGATGCAGTTCAAAGCCTCATGGCACTATCTCACTGCATGTAGTTCTGAGCTAGGTAAGAGACAGTTTGCTGTCAGCATAATCCACCAACGGGGTTCAAACACAACAGCCACGAAGCAGGAGGTGGCAACGAACCATGCTTTGATGGACCGAATACGAAAGCGATACATCTATTCTACCAGAAATAGACTCGGCGAGGTGCTCATTGATATGAGTCGAATAACTGTCGAAAGCTGTCACGGCGAGGATTGTGCCAGGGAGGTTCACCGCTCATTCTCCATCTTCCCTCCATGTGGACGTCTATGAATGGGCGCGCAAACAATGGACTGGGTTTGTAAGCAGTCAACCCGAGAGACCGAGAGAATGCTCAGTCCCAACCCTTGAACGAACCTTGAACTTGACCTTCAGTGAATTGTGTGAATGATATTGTCGGATTGTTCGTGGCTCCCTTGATAGTGAATTTGTTTTTGTTGGCAAATTGCTTTTCCCCTCCCCCCTTTGTGCGTGCGGGGCCGCATAGTTACAGTGGTACGGTTGGATAGATAATAACAGCATCATCAGCTGCAGGCAGGATTGGCGACAGCGAATGAAAGGCATGCAGATGTTGATATTTTGCAGCGGGTGGACCTGGGCCGGTGTCAAAACTCCGCATCCCGAGGTGGCGATATTTTGATTCCAGGAATTGTCCTGCTGGGACGGGTCGAGCTGCATAGAGTTACAGTAGCATGCTGGATTTCCTTACTGTAGTTCGACGAAAGGCAGAGGACAGTCACTCCATTGGAATGCAAAGTCAATCGATCCTCGAAGAAGCAGGCACGGAGTTCACGCTCCAAAAGATGGAAAGAGCCCTGCTGTTGTTGTTACCATTACAATTCAAAAATAAAAAGGTAGGTAATGTAGACTTACGGTAATCGTACGTATCTGGCCCGCTCTGCGCCCTGGAACGAGTTACGTGCATGAAGGAAGGTAAGATTCGGTGGAGACCAGGCGCTTCTTTGTTCTACAGCCACTCCATCCCCAGCTGGGCTGGTAGTCCGTTTCCCCCCTTTCCTTCGACTGTTTCTGAGCCGTTGAGCCTGGTTCGATCTATACTCCAACCCGTCAGCTGGAACCAATTTTGGATCGGATGTGGATGCAAATGGCAAGTATAGATTCAACAATTGGGCCGTCCCACCCTTCAATTAAAGGTGGTGGCCGTGGTGCAATCCGTGACATTTCTGCGGACGACCTCAGGTTTCTGCAAGCGCTCTGGCTATCTGCTTAAGAATGACGAGGCTGGTCATTCTAAAGATTGAGTTAACGTAACCACTAGAGCCAATGCCCTACCAGGGGCCTGTCCACGCCACAAGTGCCTCGCGGTAGGCGCCCAGTAGTGCGGCGTACTTCCTAAGCACACTCGTACCCACCCCATTTACCCCGAATCAATGGCAAGGATAAGGATAAGGATAAGAATAATAACAATAAACATATGGCTGAACCAGGGATTTGCTCCTCGTCCCGGTGAAGGGGCTCTGACCGCCGCAGAATCTGTACTATGTACCAGAAGACAAGACTATAGGAACGCCACTTACACAGCGTCACTCCTTCATAGTGGATATTGGAATTCGATTCCAGATGGAGAAGGAACAGGCGCAGTACTCGGATTCTCAGACACCGTACGGCGGGATGGCTCTGGGTCCTGTTCACCACTAATATCTGTCACCGGGGTGGAAAGTCGGGCTTGAAGACTTCTTGTCGTCGACGTTATTAGTAACCTTTGCAACCATGGTACAGTATGGAGTGCCTGAACGGTCTGGTTCCGTAAAGGGGTCGACCGCGGGTCAATTCTGGGTCTAATCGGGATTTGGCGATCGTGAATCTCGCACATTGAGCGAAGTCTTTTTTTCCCCTTCCTTTTCTTTCTTTTCTGACAATTTTTCTCTCCATTGATACGGATGAAATGTCATAGGGATCTGCGGGATAATCCTTCCACCGCTTGGGTCCCGGGGTACGGAGTGTAAGATGTAAATTAAAATCTGAGATTCTAAATAAAGGAGAGGGGGGGAAAAAGGGCAAAAAAAAAAAAAAAAAAAAAAAAGAATCAAGGCTGAAGACACCGCATCATTTATGCTTACTCCGTATGCTACGAAGTAAATCCGTGTCTACAGCCCACATAGAATGATAGAAGATATACACCGTAAGAAGAAGGCAATAATCAAACCTTAAACCACAATGGAAAAATTACCAATAATACTAATAGTAATGGAAAACAGGTCGCGGGGGAATCCTCAGATCTACCTAATTCTATCGGGATGGAGGGACATCCCTACTGGACAAGTTGTACTCCGTCAGTAGGCAGGGGGTCCTTACTATACACCACAGTCGTGTGTCGGTAGGGAAGGAGTCGATGCACGCCGCACCGATATCTCTAATCTAGTTTTACGGCCCTATCGCCATTTTCCCGGCTCCACTCGCAGCAGGAAAAAGGACACGCGATGACCATGGCGCCTTTTGCCATCCACTAAGCACGGAGGCACCTCCCCTTTGCATCGCCCTCGTCCTTTCCCTGGTTCGTTCATGCTGTACGGAGTACGGAGTCATGTGAATTTATTGATTTCTTCCATTTAATCTATCTACCTACCAAGATTATTCCATTTCAATAATACTCCCGAAATACTGTGCTTATTATTGATTACGCTATGCTGTTGTCCGTGATTTATTTATTATTTAACCCTCTCGACCGAATTAAGGTCGACCCCCAACACTAACTGAACTGACCTGAATTGACCCGGCCGAACCAGATCTGGGAGAAGGAGGATTATTCCTGCCTTCGCCTTTATTGGTTATTAATAAAATAAATCCAATTTCCCCCTCCCCCCGTCCCTCCGAGGGAAAAAAAATAAAGAGGTCGAAATCAATTGTTATTTTTACGATTGATTTTCCAATTCCGAGTCTTCACCTACTACTCCGTACTATTCAGCATTCACAATCTCATCGTCGAGAGCCAACCTTTGCACCTTTCAGGTACGTTCCAACGATTGCCGATTTCATCGGGTAGACCCGTTCCTGTTCTAGTCACCAGCCAAATATACAAAGTCCACTTCAGGCCAGCTCCGCAGTTCTCTCTCTCTCTTTCCCTCCGCCTGTCCTTTTTTTAAAATTTTCTTTTTTTGTTTTCTTTTTTACTTTTCTTTTTTTCTTCTTTTTTTCTTCTTGCTTTTTTTTTAGTCTCTCGCGTGTCTCCTCACTCTTCTCTACCCTTCTTTCCCTACCACGGGTTCCAAGGGAACGAGAAGGAGAGAGAAAAAAAAAAGAAAAACCATTTGTATGTCCCATGCACCCTCATTTCATATCCTCAAATGGGCCCCCTCTGTCTCACGGAATTACACTCGTTTCCTCATTGAATCCTTGCCCTCCCCGACCCGATCCTATCTCCTTGTCATGAGCTGTGGTTGTCCTCTCCATAGATGGACTACCTAACAGATGTCCGTGAACGAATCTCATCCTGGTAGAGGGCTAGGCTTTTCTATCAGGAACTTATTCCGTTCCTCCCCCTCCCCATCTCCATCGCCGCGGCGCAGAGTTTCGCTCCTCATTCGACGAGGCAGGACTGCCTTTTCAAACCAGTAAACTATCCCCATCTGTTCTGTTTTCAATGATTCAAGGCCAATTGTTCTTGTTCACCCCTCGGTTGTCCTCCAGCAATGGGCGTGACTCGACGGGATACTCCCGTTTGTCAGGGCGGCAGCCAAAGGAAACGGAAACAGGGAAGGATAAACGCTAAGATCAAGCCTCAAAAGCAGACACACTGTATACCGAATGAACCATTCGACTGGAGCCGATATGAACTCCGCTCAGCAATTTGACCCGTCGGCGATGGTTGGACTTGCCGAGGCTTCCCAAGGGGCCACGGGCGACAACCCCGATATCTTCGAGTGGCATCCGCATTACCAGAATTGTCAACGGTATTTCCTGGATCATGCGCAACACAGTGTTTCGGTTCAAGCGCTCTCTGCTTTCTTGAATATCCGGCTCCCGTTCCAGCGACTACCGCATCCCGTCGTCAATTCATCTACCGACCCCTCCTCAGCCGCCGACGCCGGGCAGGCGCCGTCTACCTCGTCATCCACCTCGAGTCTACCTCCGTCTGTGTCGTTGATTCCGTACATCCGCCGCCTTGTGGCTACGGGAATGGATTTCCCTGGCGTGCTCCATGGGTTTTTCGGGGACGACTGGGGGGCTGGCATTGGATTCATACACGAACAAGAGCGTCGCAATTATCTCTTCGCCGCCAAAAGTGGCGGCTGGGCTGCGGTGAAGAAGGACTACGACATGCCGCCCCTTGAGACCATTCCGTTCTTACGTCCGCTCCAGGGACCGCTGGATTCGGAGATCGAGGCCGCCGAGCGAAGTTGGAGTGACTGGCTCGCCATGGAAGATTGGATGGTCGGGCCTCGGGCCCCTGACGTCCTTCGAGATTCATCTTCCCAATTGTCCCGCCCTCGCAGCGCGCGAGGTTAATTTGCATAGAAGTAATCTTTTTTTTCCTTTCCCTTTCATTCTTGAATATCACTGCGCAGAGCGAGTTGATGGAGTTCTGGGGGCACTTGGATACAGCGATTTTTCTTTTGCGGTTCCCACCCTTTTCCTCCACGAAACGACGATCATACGATTTTTTTTGATTATTGAGCGCGATAGATCTTGTGGGTCCACCTATATATTGCTTCATTTATCCGTCTGGTTACGCGGGAGACAGTTAAGGGGTTGGAGGACCTCATGGTTTGAAGGTATCTATCTATCTATACTTAAAAAATCTACCTTTTGGCCTCATGCTTCGTGATTTATCTTATCCATCCTGATGTTATTTCTCTCCCACCTGGTCTATACGGAGCAGGTAGATGACGGACGATTGTCTATATGGCATTATGATGCCAAGATCAGATCCCTTCCTTTTTGTGAACTACTGGCTGAGAGTAGGGAGAAGGGGAAAAGAAAACAAGAGAAACCAGAGCGGGCCATGTTGCGGGATGGTTGCGGAGCAGATACCGAGTGCAGAAATGCAGACCCCGTGCTTGACAAGATTGACCCTCGAACAGCCCCTTGGGCGGGACGAGTGTGACTGTGTACGGTGCTGGGCCTCCGTACGGGCGGACAAGACTACTGAGTACGAGCAGCGCCAAAATCCTAGGCCTATAGCGACCCCACTGGTTTGTCTCTGGTCAATGGTACTCCGTAATACTTCCAGTCGGGTCTACGGAGGGTGAATGCTGAATGGGCGAATGGGGCGGAGGTTTCCCTTGGTTGAGTTGGAAGCGGGTGGGGTGGATGATTTTAGCGTTTACTCTTCAGTGTTAGCAGGAGTAATTTCTCCGTAGTTCTGGAGAAATCAAATCGGCCATGCCTTGCGAAGTTACGACCTCGTTCGGTGGTGCAAGCAAGACAGGAACAAAAAGAAGGGCAAGGCTAAAAACTCAAGAAAGACCGGCGGGTTTAAACTTTGTTCTGGAGTCTTCGACTGGGATCGGAAGGTTGTCGGTGGCGGGCTGAAAGGGCGGGGCCGACCGATTAGCATGGTTTGGAGGGTTTGCAGGGGGCAATTCTTTGTTACATTTGCTCAGTATGTTTACATCTGTTTACCTCAGTTATCTACTCATAGAGTACACCTATACTGTGTACTCCGTGCACTATGGATACACATCTCTGCTACCTACTACCTACAAAGACACAAATACTTTCATACAGCAATACTTCGTACAACGCGGCCCACCCAACCCACCGAGTCAGTCAGGAAAGGTCCGATCTGAGTTAGTCTTGCCTATCGGGGCGACTCCCCCCGAGTCAGATTCCCCATCTGCAGCCGGCGGTTGGCTGTGCCAGACTGCTAGAGTATACTCTGCTGAAGCTGAAACAAAACGGTCAATGGGTCGTGCCCCCTTTCTAGCCCGTTTCAGGCCCGCGTTATGTCATGACATGACTGCTGTTCCCTCAGAGGTGCCGCCTACGCTGCATGATTTGCTCGCGTCTTTGATAGACTCGATTTAGTTCGTCCAATTACTTCCGCAACTGGGGTCATCTTGATCTCTTGGACTTGGAACTTGAGGGTTTGTCCGCCCCCCTTTTTTTTTTTCTTTTTGAAGGGGCCTATTATTGACCATTGGCATTTCATTATGGTGACGGGGTTTGTTTTCTTTGATTTAGTTTCTATTTTGCGCTGCTCTGTACTACCTTCGTATGGACTACTACTGCCTGCCCCTTGTTTCCCCCCACTCTTTTCCTTTTTTTTTTTTTTACTTTCTCTTTCGTACGGAACCCTCGACCAGTTCAGGGGTTCGGTATTCCTAATGGATACCCTTCCAAGATTAGAGCGTCTATCCCTGGGATGCGAACATCTCCGGGCTGAGATCAAAGATCCTTTACGGAGTAGGTTCGTTCGCCTCCCGTCCTCGGTGGTTATGGTAGGAATACGGGCTCTGACCTACTAATAGCCCAGCCATCTATCTGCATGGATTATCATCATAACAAAGCCCGGGTCAATATTCAATATCCCCGACGATGATCCGGGATACTCCCTACCTTACTCAGGTACCTACCTCAGGTAGCCTACACCGTACTCGGTACTCCGTACTAGATAGAAGAACCCCTCGCCGCTAGACAGGTAACATGCTCCACCCAATAATGGAAAAAGAGAACCATGCACATGAAAATCAGCGTGGTTCGGAGATTTTGGGGGGGAATGAACTTTCTTCTCTTTTCTTTTTCTTGGAATTGGGATTTGGATTTCGCGCCATGTTTTTGACGCGTCACTTGGCGGCTTTTGGTCGTAACTATGAAGATTGCCCTGGCAGAACCTTGATTTTCGTCTCTTTGACTATATACGGAGCACGGAATATTCCATATACTGTACAGCCTCATGTAGGGGATTGCAGTCAAAGCGTCACGAATATGTAGAGAACTAGTTCATTGACCCAGACCACACCAAACCAAGGAGGGTTTCAATAGTCGATAAAACATATCCTCATTATTGATTTTGGCCGTGCATATCAGGGTCGTGCGTTGGGAGGCCCAATGCTGATCTGCCGAGTTCGGTTTTGTATTGGGGGCTTGGTACCATTGAATTCTTGGTGTTTCTAGCCGCCTTCTCTTGCATGCCTTGCGTGGTTTTTTACTCTTTAGTCTATGGGTTTCTGTCTTAGGCTTCGCCTTTTTGGGGGGAAGGGGGGGGGGGGGGGGGGGAGTTCTATTTCGAAATTTCTAATACGATGTAGTTTTACGGAGGATCGAGTATGACTGCGATCGCGATGAGCTATACGCCGGGTTTTTAGTTAGTGGGGAAGAAAGGGAATGAGTTATGTAACTCACTAAGTCGGCATGTATGTACATATTTCAGAAATTCTTCATGCATGTGCTTTGCACGTCATGAGATCATGAAGACCCGTCATCCGTCGGTTCCTACGGTTCGACACCTCTCATGCAGGTTCGGATATAGGGTTGGGTTCTCTGCAGACATCTGAGACTGCGGTGGTTCCTTGTCGGTACCACTCTGGTGTTTCCTTTGGATTGCGAAAGAACTGGAGACTTGTTTCCGCAGTCTTCCTTTCTTTCTCTTTCTCTCCCGGGTCAGCGGTAAGGACCATAGATCCGAAAACCAGTATGGAGTCCATCGAAATAATCCAAAAACTGCAATGGCGAATAAATTACAACGGGAAAGTGTTCCTGACCTTCCTGTCTTCAAACAAAGATCTTTCGCTAGACGAGTGGGGGGAAGGAGGAGGAGGAGGAGAGATCGGCAAGGAGATGATGCCAGATTCGCACAAGATCGATCGTCTACTTCCCTTGGTCCTCGATGGCTCTAACATGCCGGGCTGACTTATTTCCGTCGCGCGATTCCCTGGGACGACGGTGTCAGGTATCCAATCTGAAATTTTGGATAGACTTGGTTTCTTTGTGAGAATGGGTCTTGTCTTTGATTTTCGATGGGTCTTCATCGTTCCATCGTCCGGCCGTTGGATGGTTCCATGGTTATACATTCGGGTAGTCAATCGGTGTACGTGTGAACCAGGCGGTGGATCGGGGAAAGGACGGATCCTGGACGGAACTCGGCCTGAAGGAGTGACGAGATCTGGTGGTTGAGTGGGGGGTTTTCTGCTGGTATTTCAGATTTCTTTTAGGTATTCTTAGGCCTGGTATTAGTATTCGGTTTTTATCATTTAGTCTTCACCGGGCCTTATGAGTGGGCTGAATCTACTCCCGAGATCTGTCGGGATCTGAAGTTTTGAGCGCTATCTTGGATAGCGTATAGTGTAGGTATGGTGTATTTTGCATGTTGAAGTAACCGTGGGTATTTACCTTTAGTGTCTCGAGAGTACACTTACAGTAATGAGGACATAAATACATAGAGGTCCGGGGCAAGATCTCGGAACCGATGTTCTGGAAGTACGCCGAGTACATGAGATGGTAACGCTCACGGAGAAGTCTCTCTTGAATATTCGAGTGCTGGAATTGCTGCGTGTATCGCGACATTCGTTAGAGTGAGAGTGGTCAGGTTGATCTCATAAACGTCGTCCTCCAATGCTGACGGAGTTGTATCATCTCCAGTTGTATCTTCTCCAGGTGTCAAAGTGTCAGTGTCAGGCTGTCGCTGTCAGGCACTCAGGCCACCATAGGAGCCGAACACATCACTCTATGGCCTGAGGCACCAATGCGCTCATGCCACGTGACTGACTTAGATAATTCAGTCACGTGCCAGCTTTGGACGGTTGCCAAACAATGCTTGGTCAACCGATTCCCGTGATCGAGACCTTTGTACGCTTCTTGAACACCATGCCCGCTTTGTGGCAACGGGAATACCAAACCAATTGTATAGTCTGAATGAGTCGCATTCTGCTAGTGTTATGAGTGTTCTGCAGTCGGGGCAAAAGGCCAGAATACCCGGATCATGACCTCCTCCGAACAATGGGGGACCTTCCTCCATCAGTGTTTGATGCATCGCATCGATGCAGCCGAGTTCAAGAATCTCTCGAAGCTGCTTCTTCAACGATGTCCAATTGGCGAGACGCCGCTCGTGAATGTGTTGCTCGAGACGCGCTTGGCGACCGGCATCAAGTGGGATCCTTTGCTCCCGCTCTATATAGACTGCCTGTGCAAGATGGGCCAGGTGCAAACGTCGACGGTCCTGCACTCGCTGCTTAAATACTCGTCCATCCATGATGGGCCATTTCCGCCCGCGTCGGACCCGGCTTCCAACCCGAAGAAGCCGTCGAAATGTTATACGTTCATGACAGATATTAGGATCATCCAAGATGCGATGCTCTCCATCTCCACGGGCCACGCCCCAAAGAGCCTTGTCGAGGCCGTCGGCATTCTTGCTGCCATCGTGGACTGGATGCAAGCTATTGTCTCCTGGCACAACAATCACCTAGATGCCAGCCAGCAGGCCGAAGGGCTGTTGAGCTCCCCGGACGCAGTCTCCCTATTCGAGTCGCTGGGCATTCTTCTTGCCGCTTTATCCGGCACGACCAAGGGCTTGGACGTTCTGTCTTCAAATTCGCATGAAGGTACCTCGCTTATGTGTCCCCCGACTCATTATCCCATTGGGTCTACCTTTACTAACATTCATCAGCCCTGAACGCGAAGCTGGGCCAGGCTCTATCGGGGTACCTCCCCCTCTGTATGGAAGTGTCATTGGCACTGCGGAACCGATTGGATAGCTTGCAAAAGGAGTTTAACTTATACGAAGAACCGCATTCTAAGACATTGGAAGAATCCATGATGGATAATGTCAACGTGAATGCGCTCCAATTCGAGGCCTCCGTGATGGATGGGCCTATTATAAACTCGAGAGCTGGTCTCTGTATTTATATTAATGCGATGGTATTGACATCTCCGGATCTGCTTATTGGAGAACGACGCTGACTTCTTTTCTCTAGCTTGTGGGCCGCCCTTTGGTCGATGACACTATGTTGCTTAACTACCTGACAAATCGATATGGGGTAGGTCTGTGGTGTTCATTTTGCTATCCCACTGCTAATCAATCCTGGTAGGGCCATAATGAGGTACTGATTGAGGAAATCATCACTGCCGCGTTCGACGTGCTTTCCAATGCAATGTATCGCAATGAATCCAGTCGGACGATGTTTCTGTTCCGCTCGTTCCTGGTCAACAAACTCCCGGCCTTCTTTGCCGCCATGCTCGCGGCGTCTGTAGTGTCCCTGCCAATGGAAATGTGCATCAGCCACGCCCTGAGCCGATTGGATCCCAGGATCTTCCCATCATTCTCGCAGATGTTCTCCATGCAGGGCAACACCGTCCTGTCCGATGTGCGACAAGAGTTTCTGTTTGCTTGCGCTTCTCACAAATTGATACCCGAATCCAGCATCGAACGCTTACTAGGCGAGAACCCCATGCAGACTGTGCCCGTGGGGCATAACAAGGATCACCTTGTGTCGCAGATCAACACGCATCCCGAGCGCGCCGAGAAATTGATCGGTGAAATTGAATCTACAGAAGGCAACGCGGGAGCGATTGTTGGTGCCATCACCGAGGTATGTATGACACCAAGCTTGGTTTTGACTACGCGAATTAACCGTGCGCCAGGTCATGTTCAACCTATGCAACCAGAAGGAGACCATGACTTTGAAGAACATCTGCAACTCGCTCTCTCGCCGCCCCCAGGCTCTGGATGTAATGCTGCTGTTCCGCAGCTCAAGGCAGATACTGCAACCGCTTTGTGCGCTGCTGGATTCCTGGCATTGGGATGAAGATCAAGGAGAAAGTCAACCTGTCTATGATGAATTTGGGAGCATTCTGCTCTTGGTGCTGACATTTAAATACCGATATGATCTAAAACCGTACGACCTTGGAATCGGAAGCAACGACTCGTTTGTTTTGAGATTGCTGGAGCGTGGATCCAGCAGCCAGAAGCTCGACGATCTGAACGAGAAGCAAAATAAGAACCTCGGCTCGTGGATCGGTGCCTTGTTTATCGCAGAGGGCATCAGCGAAGAAACCATGTCGGCTTGTAGTCCGCAGGAGTTTTATCTGCTGGTGACGACTTTGTTTGCCCAGAGCCTAGGGGCCTGTGAAGCAGGGAAATTAGAATTCGAAACGCTCAAGGGGGGCTTTGAATGTGAGAGCCTCACGAACTCTGACCCAATAAATGAGAACTCGGACACTGACATAACCTAGATTTGCTAGAACCATTCCTTCTTCCATCCCTCGTGGTGGCACTGACCTGGCTGGGCAACCATATCTGGGAAAGCGAGCCCGACCCATCCATCCCGTTAAAAGCGTTGCATTCTCTCGTAAACCCCAGCTCGATTTCCGGAGAGGCGAAGGAGATCCATCGGACGGTGTTGAACATCACCGCGCGCCCTCTGGAAGAGCAGCTGAAGGATATTCGGGCGCGCCAGCCGGCTCGCACAGATCTCAAACCCATCCTGGATGCCCTGGAACCCTGCCTCTCCTTCCAACGGACCGGCAGCTGTGGCCGGTCTGAGTTGGATGGCTGGACCCAAGCCCCCGGCTCCCTGCTCGGCAGCATCCGGAGCACGTTCCAGGCACTCATGCTCTGGAGCACCAGTCCGGATGTGAGCATGACGCCGTCCTCATATACCCACCGGCAGCTCATCGCCGGCATTCGAATCCTGGGCTCCGTCCGCGTCCTCGGAGCGCTCCTCGAGGAGCTGAAGCTGCAGACCGAGGCCGGCAACGGGCCCCTGACCATCGACATCGCCGCGGCGATGATCTGCTCGCCGCTGGCCGAATCATTCGCCGTCGAGCAGAGCCACTACCACCCGGTGGATCCCAGCAAGGAGGCACTGCCGGGCTGCCCGATCCTGACGCTCCGCGATGCGCTCCTCATCCAGCACGAGAACGTGGCCAAGATCTCGGAGAAGGATCCTCTGCGCGCGGAGATCGTCGTGCGTCTGCAACGCCGCATAAACGCCCTGTCGGCCCCGACCACCCAGATGCCTAACATCGACATGACCAACATCATCCAGAACATGCAGCTGGGCGTCGACGGCACCGGGCAGATGGATCTGGAGCCGTCCAGGGCCGGCGGGCCCGATGTTGGCGAAGACGACGCGACGAACCTCACGCGCATCATGGGCAACGCGGCGGCGGCCGTGGGGATGGACGGCGGCGTCGGCCAGAATATGGGCGGGGGTCTTGAAACGAATATCGATGACATGTTGAGTGCGGCGGATATGACGGTGGGGAATCCGGAGTTTCTGGATCTGGATATGGAGGGGATGTTCTAATTCCGGCTTTTCTATGTGTGGTTTCTTCTTTGTTTGTATCATTAACCTGAGTCGGTCGGATATATAAGAACCATGAAATAATACCATTTTATATATTCATTGTCAACAAGGATACATGTTCCATAACGATAAAGTCCACGCCACTGTCTCAACTCCAACATGAATTTGAACCCAAAACAAAAAGCAATCAAGTCAATCAATCAATCATAAACCCGTAACCTAGTCCCCGATAGCTACCTAAGTAAGTAGATAGGTAGGTAGATATCGCATTCAACCAGTCAACACAATCAATCATCTATACCCCTAAACCCCCCCCCCCCCCCCCAAGAAAGTCAGCTTACGCTTATATATCCATACCTCCAAACTTGAACACCGCAACTAACCCAACCCAACCCTCCCAGTACAGTTAAAATAAAAATAAATAAAAAATGAGAAAACATAACTAAGAACTCAACGCCTTCCCCACTTTCCCGACCGTTTGGGGGATCCCCGAATGAGGCATTAACTTCTCCGTCAGGGCCCAGGGGTTCAGGGCGCGGCGGTGCTGGTAGGGGATGGGGTAGGCGATGGCGGCGAGGGAGGCGAGGGAGAGGGTTAGGATTGCGGAGAGGTTCATTTTTTTTGTCTTTTCTTTTCTTTTCTTTTTATTTTATTTTCTTGGATTTGGATTTGGCTTTGGCTTTGGCTTTGGGTTGAGGATGGAAGGGTATCGTTTCTTTTCTTTTCGCTTCGTTTTGTTGATCTTGTTTTGTGGAGGATGTGGTTTTGGGTTGGGTTGGGTTGGGTTGGGCTGTTGAAGTATATATCTGAGGAGAGAGATTTGTAGTATATAAGTATAAGGGTACGGGACGGTTCGATGGAGGTGCCAAATGGGATTGAAAAACTGACGAGCAGAAGAGTGAAATTAGATTTGAATTAAATTGACCAGAGTTGATTTCTTCGACCAAGTCAGTGAAAGTGTAGTTCATATAATTCTCTACGATCTTGACATGGCGTGGATCAAGGAGGTTGGGTTGATGGTATGTGGCAATCGGGATGGCATGTTTCGACGCGTTGGTATTTACTTTTGACATTGTAATCATTCATTGTACTGATATTATTGGCAATCTAAACTGTTTCCACTATGTACATACAGTGTAAATCGACATTCCTACTATTCTATGCTATGAATTGAGTAAAAGCTCTTACAAGGGATGTGTCTCGATGTGGACTGTAGGGTTAGGGTAGGCTTACCCAGGAGTCACTACTGTAGTATACTTACCCCTACCTCGGTTGTTATTCTTATTTTGTCTTTTGACGACGCGTGTCGCGTGCAGAACATTAGTACGCCAGTTCATGTATGCAGGAAATCTCCAGTCCCCTCGTAGCACGGGGATTCCCAGTCCAGTTTCCACATACTTACCCCATGCAGTATGTCTGTCCCGACACCGGACCAGGGGTAGGGTAGGCAAGAAAGACTACACCGAAATAATAATCTATCGCCTTGTCTCTGGCGAAAGACAAGAGCGTCAGCAAACAATGCACAATGCGTGATGACTTATGGCAGGCTGCATTGGCAGCTGCACGAGCCATCACATCCGCACGAGGAAGAAGGATTTTTTTAATTTATCCCCGTTGTTGCGTCTCCATTGGCTGTCAGCGTTATGCACGGTCTGCAAAAAGTGGACGAATGGGTTGCCACGAGCTGCACTCTTTTTTTCATTTTTGCCTGTCATACGCTGTGAGCTCCACTTGACTTGACTGAACTGGGGAGGGGACCGAGCTCGAACTATCTTTAGTGTCCTTTCCCCCTCATTCTCACGGTCTCACCCCTCTTGATGGGCCATGAATCATGAATTATGAATCCAGCTTCCGGTGTTCAATATCCGCCGAGGCTGATGTACACGGTGTAGGTTACCGTGCGGTACAGTGCAGGCGGGCTGTTGGACTGGCTGGCGGGCTGACCGTGTAACTCTCTGATCCGTGTGTTTGCTGCAAACCCTGCCTTTTCAACGTCTAGGCCTTGCTTGACCGTGCTTTGGCTCTCGGGCAGAAAGAGGAGTCGACCAAAGTACCATACGTAAACGTGCGTCGGCTTCCATTCGAAAGTGTTTGTTGATTGTTCCGTGGTTTTAGGTGTGCGGCGGGCTGAACTCGACGGGAAAGGAGGCATTTTCTGCAGCTTCGCGGAAGATTCTTCCAGGGTTGGTTGGCTCTGCAGTTTGCGACGCATTCTCTTGACTCAGTAGGGGCAGTTTACCCCCCTGATCTTCTTTTTCTTTTTCTTTTTCTGCCTTTTCCAAAAGCCGAGTGGCCCTGAATCTAGCGGTCAGTCCATCAGTATCAATCAATCAAGTAGGCCCGATCACCTGTCAAATTCATCCCGTACTCACTCGGACCTTTCTCCATAGGAGAATGAACTAAGCATCTTATCACACACGGACATGATCTTGAATTTTAACTGCCCGCCATTAGCTCGGAGACGAGAACGCCATCGATCGGCTGTCACAAGCATCTTTGCCTAGGCATAGGCCACATATGCTCCGATCAGACAGCCAAAGACGATCGGTGTGTAACGAAGCTTGTGATGTGATAACTTATTCGAGACGAGATCCAATCCTGCACGACCAACCAACTTCCCCGCCTCGCCATACGGCTGAGCACTCTCGTGCAGATGTCGGGACTTGATAGACAGCACACAAGACTAGGATATCGACCCAATCAAGCGCATCTCTTCGTCGTGTGGGAAACGCTTCACGATACCACCGTGCTGATCGGTCGGCAGAACCTCCTATCCTGGTAACCCTGCCTGGATCGGCGACGCAGGCTCGGTCCGCACCATCTACTTATAGAATATCCTTACCGTAAGACTGCACATAAGGCCCCGACTAATGCTGCGTGCAGCAGGGCTCTCCATCCAGAGCTGTCAGCGCCCCTGTCCATCCTTCGATCCCCTCGGTACGGAGTACGCGAGCAGGGTTACAGGGTGTCATCCTCCCCTGTCGGTTGTTGGCTTTAACCAATACCTAAGGCACGGAGAATAGATAGTTCAGTTAGCTCTGCAGAAAGATTGGAGCCCGAGGACCAATGACCGACAACGGGAACCTTGACGACAAGAAGAGAGAGGAAAGGATTTTGTTTCCTCATTCCTTCAGATCCTGTACTTTGTGATATGTTCCTTTTCTCGCTCTTGTTGTTTTTTCTTCTTTTTTTGGGCTCACAAGGTTTAGCCTGCTCCATCGGAGCTCGTGCAGAATGCCAGAATCCTCTTTTGGCCATAGTTCCCAGTCCAACCAACCTGACCAGCTCCCTATCCCAGAAAGTGGAGCGCACGAGGGACGCAATGATAGGCAGCGCGAAGGAGCTCCTGGTCTCTGCGCTAGATCCTTAGTCGCGCTGTGGACTCCACCATTACCAACGGAGTTGAAGGGGGCATCCATTGCGACCGGTGCTTTTGCTCAAGGCCCCCATATCCCTATTCCCTATGCATGGACGGAACGAAAGTAAAAAGAAACCATGCATTGTTGTTGTTCCTGACCTGTAAGCGTAAATCCTGAAGGACGGAAGGAGGTGGTCCAGGGGACTCCAGTCGGGATTTCTCCGCAGACGACGGGGACTACGAGGGTCATGTGACATTGACATGGCCCCAAGGGTAGGGATGAGGGATTCTATAACATCATTCTACTATTAGGGGTGACTCGTCGATTGAACGCTGAACGCTGGTCAGAGGAACAGGAGCGCCCACGATCTATCCTAAACACCAGATCCTCCTAGGAGACCATCTAGGAATAGACGCAAATCCAGCCTGTGTCCACCGTTCGACGATCTGACTCGCGCCCATTGGACAGGCCTATCACATCTCGATAGGAAAGGAATGGGATATGGATACGTTGGGTCTCCGGGGAGATCATGAAATGGTCGCAATAAGTATGTCCCTACTCCGTATTACTCGGGACGGCGTAGTCAGTAGACGCGGGATCGGGTTGCGCTGCCATCGGGATTTGGTCATTGGCGAGCTGTACTTTTAGTCCCGAGCTCTGCTAGGTCCCTGAGTCGGTCGCCGCCCTTCCTTCAGTCATTATTGCCGGAATGGGAATTCAAGAGCTCCATCCGGTGGACACACTGGGGCGGTGGGGGGAAACCGAGGCCGATGAAACGCACCGCCGGGGGAGTGGACTGTGGAAGACTGGAAGTCAAAGAACAGACGGGCGACCTAGCAGGCTAGCATCTTAGACAGACGGCCGAGTGACGACGAACGCGGGAGGACGATGTCATTGATCGTCCCATGATGCTCGTGGCAGGTTCATCGATGCCAGACTGCAAGGGGTCCAGTGACGATGCGATTTCCATCATTTTCTGCCCTCGCCGACCGATGCCGTCACGGTGCGACACGTGACTTTCTGGTTCCTGAGCGATCAGGCCGACTGGACTCGAGTCTATCCTTGGGTAACGTAGTTGTTTCGCTTGCCACCACTTGCATTCTACCCACCCCCTGATATCAAAGAGCAGACGAAATGAAGATGGTACGGTCGGACATGACCGCAGGGATCGATCATCCCGTCGCCCAGAGACACGGCAGGAGAAAGCGGTCTTCTCTTTGTTAAGGGGACCGTGATAGATAGGCCGTGACCGAGCCTTGATCCTTTTTCATTTCGTGCCGTTCCGCGTTGCTACGTCGTCTTCCTCCGGTGGGGTGACGTTGTCGCCAGTGTCGCCCAAAGATACCATCTTATTGGTCCAGGAACATCCCGTCCCAGGGTACGCAGGGTACGCGACCATGGCTTGACCACGGAACGCCGAGTGGAGAGTGAAAGGCGCGTGCTCCCTGCGGCACAGGGGCCTGAACCGAGGTTCTGATCCCTGTTTCCCGGTCGCGATCCAGGGGATGGCGGATGTCAGGACTTTGTTGAAGCGACATTCATGATCCCACAATTGGATTCCTCCTCGAAAGGATCAAAGGAGCCCCGGGAGAGTATACAAAGTACAAAGAAAGAGAGAATGAAATTAACGACGGAGGATGCGCCGGTCCGTCGCTTGGATGGGAATGCCTGGGCTCTATCTCCTCTAGTGTCAACTCCCCGTCCATATATTCAGTCCATCCATCCCGTCTAGTCTCCCTAGTGCCTGCTAACGAGTTAGTCGGCGGTTTTAGTGCCAATTGGTGGCCAGCCAGTGCTTTAGGCCCGCATGCGATAGCGAACACGTGCCTGTGACTGGCGGTCGTCCAAGCATTGACCCCAAGACCCGGCTAACGAGTTCTTTGTTCTCTGCCGGCGAGGACCGTCGAAGCTCCTCTTTTCTTTTTTGCCTTCCCAGCTTACGCCGAACGGACTACTCCGTATGTTTTATGGCTCATTATCAGATAGCTGCCGGTCTCGACCGGACTAATTCTCGGCATCAACGGTCGGTATTACCCTGTCCTGTAGCCATTGTGCTACCTGCCGGCCTCCGTGCGCCGCGTACAGAGAGAAAAACCAAAAAGATCCATAGTTCAATAATTCAGCAGATCAGGTCGTCCGTGCCTATCGGCCATATCATCCACCTCTGCCAAAGGCATGGCAAGCGCACCTCCAGACTGTCAGAATATGCAAGTCGGCGTAAGCCCTAGACGCCACTCCACGATCTAGGCGCCACAAAATTTGCCTCGACTGTGCCAGGTCCTAAAGCGACTTGGTCGCCTACTAAGAGAGCAGAAAATCGGAACCATCATCCGGGTCGAGTCTTTGTCTCTTGAGCTCGAAATGGTCTAAACCTTATCGGTCAGGGCAAGGCAATAGTACTAGCTTTCGATGGGAGGGGAGGGGGGAGGAGTCATGGATGGCGAATGGGCGATAGAATATAGAGTATCCGGACGCCCCGAGGCCTCGAAATGGCCTGATGCATGTGCTATATCATATCTCATATTCCTATCCCCCGTCTAGGATCCTGTTGCTGTGGTAGGGATGATCAGAACCCGAGAACCAGGCCGATGGATTCTTTGCATCTGCAACGCGTCTACGTATACCCATCCTGGCGATATATCTAATGTTCTATCGTCATCGAGGGGAGAATGGACGTGCTCTGATAGCACCGCGTATTGTCTGTAGATTCGCAGTAATGTGTGACCTTACCCAATTTCTCAACGCGGTGGATGGGTCGTCGATCATTGACTCCCAAGTGTGGATCAGAAACACACGATGGAGCACAGATAGTCAGGTAATTTGGCCTGCCAACGACCTCTCTATCCTGGGGAAGGATCACATCCGGGAAAAGCCAGCCAGCGCCAACTCCGAGACACAACCTTAACAGAGAAAGACCCAAAATTTGTCATGTATGTCTTCCATCCACAGACGGTGCATATGATTGCGATTCCAACGACCCGGATCAAGAGCTACCCATGTAGAGTTTGGCGCCGAATATAGTCGCCCTCCACTTTTGGGGCGAGTTTATAGACAGAAACCCGCATTGATGGGGACAGTATAAAGTGTAAACTCGGTCAAGTTAGTCAGGTATGCATAAGCCATTACCAAAGGCCCTTTTGGGCTTTTTACCCTTGCGTCGCTATCCTCGTCCTTTCCCAGTTAATTATCCGTTTGCCTGCTCTGACTAGTTAATGAGTTAATACAGCTAAATAGTTAGTTCTCTTTGTTAAAGGCATGGATAAGTCAAGGATTACCGCGCCCGGAGGACTGGATACTGGAATATGTTAATGCATCCTGATTGAACTGGAAGGATTGTGTAGTCCCTCCACCACTTCCGATAGGGCGTGTCTCTGCCGATCGCTAGGTTACCTGCGTCCCTTGATCCTACGCATTGCCCGCGTTCGCCGACTCCACGACCATCGGCCATTATTTAGAGGGAGAGAGAGAGAGAGAGATCCTGATATCCGCCGCCAAGGTAGGGTTGAGGCCATCTTTTAGCCGGGAGTCCTTCGAAAGAGTCTGGAATCTGGTTAGACTGAGACCGTTGCCCTTTAGCTAGTTCCTTCGTACGAACCACCTGCTCCAGAAGTACTAGGGCGGCCGACCTAGACAGCTTGTAGCGGTTTTAGCCTCTTGAGCTTGGGGGAGACCGTCCGGTGGGCCGTGATGCATCACTCCATCCCCTTCCCCTGTTCCCCGTGAGGCCGTGACAGTCGACATGTCGATTTTCTCTACCAAATTGAAAATTGTGTCCTTTTCTTAGGATCAGTTTAGTGCCAATCCTGGTTCCAGTGGCACTATTTTCACAAAGTCCCTTTTTTTATCTCTTTTC